ACCTGAGCACAATGAAGTGTTCTGGGTTTCCTCTCTTCTCAAGGCTAGCCATGATCTATGAAGTTGAATTCCTGGGTATAGTCAGTAAAACACAGCAAACATCTTTATGGTAGTCTCTGCTTCGAGCCAGTATCCATCTGACATCAGCAATGAATCTGGCCTGATCCTGTGGCAGCTCCCTGTTAATGTACTGTTGCAAATGGTAGTGATCTGAATAATTACATAATTTATTTTTAGTATACTGTTGTTTATTTTTCATCTGACACAACATTGCAAAATTTATTGTAATTTCATCACTGTTTTTCAACTTATCTGGGAGAAAAAAGGATAACTGTTAATGAATTTACTGTGTCAGCCTACTAGTGTAAGCTGATCTTACTAGTACTGGCTGAAAACAAACCAATAAAAAATGGTTAATTTTATTAGCGTACATGAAATGTTTTATTTATTTGAAAAATGTTCTAGGCAGTTGAAGTCCTAAATATAGATATGTAAGCTTCATAAATAGTATCTGGTGACAAACAAGGCTTAACCTTCAGTGAAGCTTCAGTTTATTTGAGCAAAGTTACACTGGTCAGCAAGGAACAGAAATTAAAGTGTCATAAAATGAGAGATCATAGGTGTAAGTAATACAAATTAGGAGCCCCCCCAAAAATAGAAATATGAGAAGGCGTAAAATTGTTTTGTCTAAAATGGAATAAAGATATAATGGAATATTTCCAAGAACTGTTTGAAACCCCCTTGTATATTGAGAATGCTGTTTCTAAACTCTCTCTCTCGCTCTCTCTTTCTGTCTCTCTTACACACATACACACACACACACACACACACACACACAACCAAACAAAACAAAAGAAAAAAACAAACAAACTTTAAAGCAAGGAGAATGGTTTTCTAGGCAACCTATAGGCCGAAAGTATTAGAAATACAGACAAGTGGTTTCTGTATAATCTATTTGATTATTGACTTGTTACTTAAGTCTCTTGAGTTCCCTTTGTCTTTCGGATTGTTGGTTTTAGGTGCCCTGGAGTCGGTTCTGACGCACGGTGACCTGCTGCACAACAGAACAAAACACTGCACACACAGCCCTACAACATCCTCACAATTGGTCCTGTGCCTGAGCCCATTGTTGCACCTTTGGTATCGAGCCATCTCATTGAGGCCTTTCCTCCCTTTTGCTGTTTCTTTCATTTTACCAAGCATGATGTTTGGCAACATGTCCAAAGTATGGAAGACAAGGTCTTGCCATCCTTATCTCTAAAGAGCACGCTGGCCATACTTCTTCCAAGAGAGATTGGTTTGTCCTTTAAGAAGTTCATGATACTTTCAATATTTTTCAACAGCATCACAATTCAAATGCATTGCTTATTTTTCAGTCTCCTTATCCAATGTCTAATTTTCACATTAATATGAGGCAAATTAAAATACCATGGCTTCAGTCAGGTACACCTTAGTCCTCAAAGTAACCTCCTTGATGTTCATTACTCTAGAGAGGTCTTGTGAAGCAGGTTTACCCAATGCAACACATCTTTTGGTCTCTTAGATTCAAGTAAGACAAAAATCCTTGACAACGTCAACCTTTTCTCTATTTGTAAAGATTTTTTTATTCATCCAACTTTGAGTATTTTGGTCTTCTTAGCCTTCAGTTGTAATCCATACTGAAGGCTGCCATCTTTAATTGTCATCAGCAAGCGTTTCGAGTTCTCACTTTCAGCAAGTAAGGTTGTTTCATCTGCGTGTCCCAGGTTGTTACTAAACCTTCCTCCAATCTTGATGCCACATTCTTGTTCATATAATCCAGCTCTCTGATTATTTGCTGAGCATATACATTGAACAAGTAGGGTAAGAGGATTCAGCCCTGACACACACCTTTGCTGATTTTAATCCAGGCAGTATACATACCTTTGTACTGTTTGCACACATTCCAAGCATACAGAGCAAATAAAGCTGAGAGCAGGAGGAGAAGCTGGCTTATGGAGTAGGGGCCTCTGAGCACTTAATTAGGGGAACTGGGTTTGTTGGCCAGTGGAGGGGGGGAGGTCTGGAGTTGAGTGCCTTCAGGCTAAGGACTATGGAGGAGTGATGTGCCTTCTGGACATTTATTGGCAACCCTAAAGAGCTTTATAACACTGCATTAGCAGAGCAGAGACCAATGGGCCATTCAGCTAAGAGGCCAAAGACCAGAGAGTATGCATGGGTAAAACTGAGATGTGGCTGTCCTGTGTGAATTATCATATGTTGAGCATTTATAACCTGTTGACTTCCTTACTCTACTTCCTTACTCTACACCACAATAAATAGTATTGTCAGTGAGTTCTGTGTAGCCACTGCAATAAATTCTTGAACTCAGTTGTAAAAATAGAGCTATGGGAGGGACAGTGGTGTCAAAATCGCAAAGTTATAGGAAGCAAAATAGTTAAAAGCACAAATAAAATGGAAATTTAGGTAGCCTATGGGTAATGGAAGGCACTTTGGTGCTGTAGTTGGGGACATGTTGGGGCTGCTTAGTGAAAGGTCTGTGGTTCAGAGCCACCAGCTGCTCTGTGGGAGAAAGATATAACTTTCCTAATGCTTTAAAGATTTACAGTCTCAGAAACCAAAGGGGGAACTTGTACTCTGTCCTATAGGGTTGCCATAAGGAGGAATTGACTTGATGCAGTGAGTTGTTTTTGGCTTTATGGATAATGACCACCATCAGTTCGTTTGTTGTACTGCTCTGGCTTGAATGTTGTTCTGATGTTAAAAGCTATGCCCCAGATATCACAAAATATCACCAGAATCACTCATGGTACACAGGTTTCAGTAGTACTTCCAGACTACGATAGAATAAGAAGAAAGGCCTGGTAATCCACTTCCTAAAATTAAACTAGTGAAAACTTTATGGATCAAAAGATAACATTGTCCAACTTTGGACACATCAGGGTGTTTGGTGAAATAGAGGGCCAGTGAGGGCAGGTAGCTTGATACAATAACAAATATAGTAAATGTGCAAAGAAAATCATTTGTAGCTAAGATTTTAGGGTAGCACACAGAATTCCAAAGTGGAGGAAACCGTTAATGTTCTCAGCGCTAACTGAAGGATTGGAGATTCAAGACCACCCAGAGATGCCTGCTTCAAAAAACACCCAGCTGTTGAAAACCCCGTAGAGCACCGTTGTTCACTTATACACATGGGGTCACCGTGCATCAGAATGATCACCACTGGAATGCAGGGTTCTAAAAGGTTCTAAAATCACATTCAGAAATCAGTGGGACTTTGAATGATTCCTTAACTAGATAGGAATTTCAGAGAAAATGCTTTTATAGGTGGTCAGGTAGACTGTTATTCACTAGTCTATAATCTTTTAGGCAACAGTTAAGTTTTGCTTTATATATTTTAATTGGATATTTAACATTAATTTTAACAGAAATAGCACAATAATAAGATGAAAGACAACGGTAAAGAAATAATACCAACTGTAGTTCATAATATTATCACCAAAACACCTAGTGGTACAAACTATTAACTTTAACCTGCATACTTTTATGTGTGTGATCACAATATACCTATTATTTTTCTTCTGCTATTTTCAGCTATCATGATATTTGTCCATAAAATAGAGTTAATTCTACACATATTTTATGGGATTCTAAGATAGAAGATTTTAGCATCTCTAGAAATTGTGTGAACGTAATTTATAGGCCAAGAACAAAAGTAAGATTGATTTTCTTGGAACAGTGTGGTAAATACCGTTTTAGTTGCTTCTCCCCAACAACCCCGACCCCCACCCCCAGCAGTGTGATTTTGAGAATCTAATTTTATTTTGTATTTAAATAGAAGGAAGATACTGTGCTATTCTAATGAAAGTTGTTTGTTTTCTTAAAGTTGTTTTTGTACATAGGAAAAAGTCAGTCTACTGCTTGTTTTTCAGCACTGTTTGATAGAGAATGAAACATGGTTACAAAGTGTTATGTTTATGAAGTGGCCTTGTTAGTAGCACTTGAAGTTTGTTTATAGTTCACAGAAAATCTTAGTTGTCGAAAATGGAACTGTATTTGAATTAAGGTTTTGAAATTGCTCGTGTTTTTTCCTTGTGGCACCTTGAGTGAGTCATCTAATCATAACTGTGATAAGTAGAAATAAAAATATGTCCTGCTGTACATGAATGATTTTACAGGTTTACTGTGAAGATGGGTCCAGACATTTAAATACTTTAAGGTTTTGGACTCTTTAGGAGCAATGTAGATAGAGAAGGTAGACTCAGACGCTGGCTGCTTCGTCGGCACTTACTGAGGACACGCGGCTGCCAGCCACACTGATTGTGCTTCAGTGCAGACACGCTGCAGCACTCAGCACTGTGGATGAGGAGTGCCAACCTAGGAACGCCTGTGTGACTCACTGGATCGCTTCCTGTAGTGCCTCGTCACTGATCTAGTTGGTTCTCCTTTAGATTGACACAAATCCTCAGTTATTTTCAATCAACAGCCTCCAACAGGTATTCCCATGAATACCTTGAGTAAAAGACTCCTTTTGGGCTACATGCTCTAAATCAACTCTCAGTATTAAATCGGCGGGGTGGGGTGGGGGTGGGGGAGTGTACTCTAGTATGTGTATTGGTTGGGGTGGGGGTTGGGGCTGGAGATGGTGGCAGCGCTGTAAAAATACCTTTTTATTTTTAGTTCAGAATGAATAAGCTATTTCTTTTAAAAACAGGGCCTGAACAGAAGAGAAAGATTGGTGACAGATTATGAAGAAAAAGTGTTGTTTATTTAGGCAAACTAATTTAGACTTGATGATGACAAAACAGCAGAGACTATGCCCCTTGGAACTGATCCGACTGGAGAATATCTTGTTTATTCTATTTGTTAAAAGGATAACTGAAAAATTAGAGGGTGGCTGTAATATTGTTGTTTTATTTTTATGATATGGGACTTTAATGAACATTTTTGGGAAATAGCCATGCACTGTTAGCTAGTTAGACATACTCTGTTAATTTCATCAACATGTTCATTTCTTTCAGCTCCATGTTCATGCATGTCTTTTAACCCGGAAACCAGAAGACTGTCCATAGGTCTAGACAATGGTACAATCTCAGTAAGTACACATAAATAAGATTCCCACTTGAAAGACTTACCATCTTGTGAAATACATATATGCATTGTGATGAGAATTATTTATTAGTTATTTTTAAATGAGCTGATTAATTCTTGCTAAGTAATGTGGAAACTGCAGCGCAGCAAGTTATGGTGAAGGATTCTGGGTAGGGAGAATGTCATAATTGTCTTCAAAGCTGGCAAGATAGGTTCAGCTTGATTTAGCTTGAGCACTGTGGCTAGGCCAGGAGTGTAGGTAAGTCAGGGGAACTGTAGGAATCTGCTCTTGTGAGAGCAAGATGTTAGTGACTTTGATCAGCTGGCTAATCGTGGCATTGTAAGCTTTTTCATATAAGCAACTGACTTCTCGTCCATCTGCATGTCTGATCTTGTCTTTGATATTTCATATTCTCCTCCTGTTTCTGCTTCTCTTTGCATTTTCAACTCTTGTAGCATGTGACTAGAATCCTGTACTTTTGTATGTTTTTGTAAAGCACAGACTCTAGATGTAATCTGTAGGATAGGTCCAGGGAAGTATTAAACCTTTTGATTATAGAGTTTGAGAAAACTGAAGTGATAAGTGATTAGAATTCTAGATATTATTTTTAACTATTATATTAAACAGTAACAAGATCAATCTGATAAATTCTCTGTTTGGTAAAATTATCTAGTACTGATTTTAATCCTGGTGGGAGGGACCCTGCTGTGGAACTCATGGTTTAGGTTTCACCATACTACAGGAGCTCCTACGGGAGCCTGGGTGGTGCCAAAATGTTGGCAATTAGAACCTACCAGCTGGTCCTCAGAGGAAAGATTTGGAAATTCACTTATGTAAAAATTGCAGTCGTAGGACTCTTAGGCAGTTCTACTTTGCCTTATAGGGTTGAAATCAAATCAACAGTAACATTTTAATGATTTTGTTTGTTTAGTTAATGTGACCACACTTCTCCATAGAGTGAAGAATCTGAGGGGCTAAGGAGACATATATACACTATTCCTTCCCTCTCGACCGTCTATACCCTGGGTACCGGCATTCTAGAATTCCCTGTCCCCAAACAGCTCCGAGCCTGCTGCAAGGGTCCTTTACCTGGATTTCTCCTTAGTAGCATGGCCTAGGCCACCAGTACTGGAGGCCTGACAGATGGCTAAGGGACAGTGGTTTGAGGAAGCTGGGAAGGATCTGGAAAATGGGAAGAGAAGGGATGACTTAGACGGTCCTCATTTCACCACATTACTATGTGCGAGTTTAAGAATTCCAAATTTGAACTTGGCTTTTCAGTTTTGTCAGGACTAGAGGAGAAACCATATTTTATTTGTTTGCTGACTTGATTTATAACATAAATATTTAGACATGGGATGAAGACCTCCATTTGTATTCTTGCCTTGGCTCCTATAGATGTTTACAGGGGGCCTGGAATTTTCCATTTGATTAAGCAAAACATCAATCTGGAAACCACTAAGGAAATTATAGCAATATTCTTGTCTATAAATCAGCTAAGTAACAAATATTTATGGAAATTCTGTAACACCTAGAACATTTGCTAGGTCTGTAATATAACTTCTTTCTTAGGAAAACAGAAGAGATATTTACTATATAGATCACTGTCTGCTTTATGGAGAGCCACTTAACAAAGGAGGGTAATGGGAATAAATTTATTTTTACAAGAAAAAGGAGAGTTAATTATTTAATGAATAGTTCCTTAAAAGTGGATATGACATGAGTTGAAGTTGGAGCTTTTGATGTCAATGTAGATAGTATAAGAGTTTCTGATAAACTTGGCTTTGAACATGAGAAAGTTAAACAAATTATTTTAGCCGTCATAGGAGAAACCATCCTAGCCACTATCCTTCAGTCAATGAAGCTTCCAGTAAACCAGAACAGAAATTCAGAAGCGGGCTCATGAGCTTTTCTGGGTGTCAGTACAGTATTGGTAGCAAACCTATTGGACCCTTCTCTTCTGAAAAAGATGGAGGGACCCTGAGTTGTTGGATACACTTTCTGTAAAGCAATCTATAGATACAACACAATCCTGATCCAACCCCTACTTCATTGTTTAAAGAAATGAAAAAACTGATGGCCAGCTTTATATGGAGAGAGAAAAGACTCAGGATAAGCAAAGACTTCTTAAAAATTAAAGCCAGGTGAGATGCCTGACACGACCTTACCTCAAAACCTACTCCTTAGCCACAGTAGTCAAAACAGCCGGTACTGGTCCAGTGATGGACATAATAAGCCAAAGGAACAGAGTAGAACACCCGGATATGAATGCATCCACCCACAGGTGGCTGATCTTTGATAAAAGGCCAATTTTTGATAAAAAGCTATCAATTGAGATAGGGACAGCCTCTTCACCAAATGGTGTTGGAAAATCGGATCTCCTTATGCAAAAGAACAGGACCCATGTCTCTCCCCATGCACAGAAAGGAACAGTGGGTTAAACACCGAATGTAAACCCCAGAGCTATCAGGATCATCAATGAGAAAACTGCAGGGCCCGCTTGCAGGGCATCCGTGGACTGCCAAGTGTCAGAAAGGAAGCACGCACATTGGAAACCAACTGGATGACTGGGATCAACTGCACATAAAACACGTGCACACATTTAAAGACTTCATCAAAAGAATAAAACGAATATATATATATGAAGAAAATAAAGGGACCGATGGCCCCGGAGGGACATGGGAGTGCAGGAGGTAGAGGAAGGGAGGAGGGTTGGTCAACCTAGGGATAGGGAACAACAAATGGTTCAAAACCAACGGTAGGGA